ACTCCATTGTGCAAAGGTCTCATCCGGTTTGCTTTCCAGCCATGTGATGAAATTCTATGCAACACCCTCGTCCATTGGCTCTAAAACATGACAGAATTCACCTTGCCCTGGGAAGCAAGTAAAGGAACGCATGTGGAGTGTGCTGCCTTTTGACATGGTGTGCCTAGAGCTCTTCTCTGGCTTCGGGGATGGAGGAAATTCATGGACACACACACCCCGTGTCTCTACCTATTGGCCATACTCTGATAGCTATTTACTCAGAGAACAATGCCTGCTACCTACACCTCAGTCTGTGGTCTCACAAGCTAATCAGAGCCAGCTATGGTCAGTAGTTGGATGGAAGAACTCCAAACAAAATAGCTCAGGCTGCCGTAAGTCATCTCCGTGATTTGTTGGTAATCCTGGACTCTCCGTGAGTAAGGAATCAGTGCCCTGGAGTGGCGCAAAGAATCTTCTCTTTAATTAAGCCTCTTAAGGACTTTTAAAACAGAAATTTGATTCCGTATTTCATAACCATTGTGGAAGATTCTCATGGGTGGATCTAAAAATTATCGGCCTATCTCTCCGAATAAAAACCAAAGCAAAAGTATTTAAATTTCTAGAATATGAGCAAAGTCCTGCATGAGACATTTAGCACAGCACGTGGCACCTACTAGGCACACAACAGGTATTTGTTGAAGAAATGAATGCATGAAAGAACAGAGAGTTCCCAGAAGTAGCAGTGGGCCATAGCTAAAATGAAACCTAAAGACTTTGAGTTACGTCAAATGGAAATACTCTGGCAGGTACCAGTGAACTGAGCATTTCGATAAACCAGTGTGGAGAGCAGTGTGATATTACAGTATAAGCTACATTCCAATCCATTTATGCTCCCCCACTTGCATTCTGGTGCAGTCGATGAAGAGTACATCTAGGAAAGTTTTATCATGCAATTTGGCCCACAACTGGTAACCAGATATGAAAATTGCAGTGAATCTAAATGTTGGAAGGAAACTGAACTGGTAGGTGACCTGCTGGGTTGGATAGTATTGGAATCATTTGGCTGATGATGCTAATCAGTCACCATTTTTGTTTTGAAATGGAAGCCCAGTAATCAAATAAGTTTAGTAAAATTCCTTGTGTTTACAGAGATCTAGTCAAAATGGTTCTGTATTTTCCTATTTAAGCATCTCAGTGGAAGTCATGTTTTGCCTTTCTAATTAAATATTTGCTTACATGTGTGTGACACAATGTTGCTGAATGAAGCAAAAAGCACACTTCTCTTTATGGGGAATTAGAGAAGAACTCAGGTTTTTCTCTATCACAAGGCCCCAAGAAAAATATATTTGGGTTATGATGTATCTGTTACCTGTATCAGTTGGATTATTAAACTCTGAAACTCTTACCACATATGTAGAACAAGAATAAGCCCACAGAATGAGAACCACACCGGATGCAGAATCCTGCTTAAGCTATTTACCAGCATTTTTACTTTAGGCCTGCTACTTAACAGTCCTTGGTTTTCTCACCTGCAAAATAAGGAAAATATGCCTGCTGCCCACCTTACAGGATTGAGAAAAGCAATCAGATATGTTACAATGGCAAACCCATGCAGAGGATAAAAGTATGGACTTGGAGCGGGAGAGGCCTCAGTTTGAGCTTGGGCACTACCTCTGTGATCTTGAGCAAGTAACACAACCTTAGTTTCCCCATCCATCAAATGGAAATCTCACACCCTTGTTGAGAGGATAAATCACGTGATATGTGTAAACTGCCAGACAGATGTGATAATGGCTCACATTGATGAGCACTCACTGTGTTCCAGGTACCTGGTAACACACACAGTTGTGCTCTCCAGGCTGTAAGCTGTGTGAGGTGGAGGCCCAATTGGTGACTTTTTTGTTCCCAAACTTTGCTCCCATGCGGCCTTGCTTCTAGAGCCCACAGACACCCAGTGGAGAATTCTTACCGAGGATGTTAATTCTAAGGGATAGGGAAGAGGCCATTTTACAGGATCTACTGCTCTAGAGAAGAAAGGCCCTGGGGTGAGGAAGCTCCCTGGAGGAGCTCTCTAGCCCAGAGACTGGATTTGATTAGGCCTCAGACTAAGTAGACCTTTTTGTCTTGCATGATGCATTTCTGGTGGACACAAGGGTCCAGAGCTCTGGGAAAAGGAAAGGACAGACAGGGGAATGAAAAGGAAGAGGCTAGTTATACATGCCCTTCGTGTCCCTCAAATCAGCCTCTGCCCTTTTTAATGCCATTGCCTTCAGCTAACAAAGAAATTACCTGTTATTTTATTATTTGAACTATTTTTATTATTATCAGCACTATTGCCGTTATTATTATCAGCTAATATGTAGTGAATGCTTACAGAGGACAAAAATCCATTGACTTAGTTACCATCACAGCAATCCTACAAGGAAGATTCTCTTTTTCTCTTATTATTCTTATTTTACATATAAGTAAAGTGGGGATAAATCAGAGTGGATAAAATCCTTTCCCAGGCTAGCAGGTGGGATTGCTGAGACTCAAACCTGGAGCAGTCTGGCTCCAACCCCCTATTTTTTTTTTTTTTTTTTTTTAGTGTTCAACGATTCATTAGTTGTGTATGGCACCCAGTACTCATCACAAAACATTGCCCTCCTTAATACCAGTCATCCAGCTACCTCATCCCCCCATCCCCCCACCCCCCTCCCTTCTGTAACCCTCAGTTTGTTTCCCAGAGTCCAGAGTCTCTCATGGTTTTTCTCCCTCTCTGATTTCTTCCCATTCCGTTTTCCCTCCCTTCCCCTGTGGTCCTCCACGCTATTCCTTATGTTCCACATATAAAGAAGATGTGGTCATATATACAATGGACTATTACTCAGCCATCAGAAAGGATGAATACCCACCATTTGCATCAACATGGATGGAACTGGAGGGGATGATGCTAAGTGAAATAAATCAAGCAGAGAAAGACAACCAGCTATTTCTAACTACTGTGCTACTCTCTGATTTTACTTAATGACTCATAACTAGAGTTCAAGCTCACCCAGGCACTTGAGTTCAAAATCTGCCCTCTGGCTGCCTTCCTCCGAGCAGGGGAGCAGAGCCTAGGCAGTTTGCTCAGCACTTCCAGAGTCTTTCCAACAGAAATGAACTTCTGCTCAACTTATCCTCAAGTCTATTTTGAAAACCAAAATAATTTGTGTTGATAGTCAATGTGCCAGAACACAAACAAAAAAAGCCCCATTTTGTAGAGCAGAGAGTGAACTTTAACCTTCTGAGAATTTTTGGTTTTCCTATATGAAATGTTTTTTTATTATTTTAAGATATATTCTCATGTGTTTTTTTTCTGTTACAAAAAAAGGTTTCCTTAAAAGCTTAATGCAATGTATTGTAATTAATCTTCTTAAGTGAAAAGATGAAGTTGAGTGTAGTATTGTAGTTAAGAGTTTTTAAAACATTTATCAGCAAAAACTATAGGATTTACTATATAAACAAGGTCATTTAAATGTATCATGTTAATTACATAGCTATAAATACAAGTTGGATGAAAAGGCTTGATTGGATTTGTTCTCTGTTCTGCTGATACAACCTTAATTGCACGTGATAAGAAAACACTTTTAGTCAGAAAGCACATCAGACTGCAGACCACTCCAGCAACCTGCTCCAGGGAAAAATCAAACAAATGCCACGTCAGTGCTTGCCTCATGGGAAAAAAAAAAATTAAATACTGAGCATTTTCCCTTATTTCCTATTCAGTCAAAATTTAACAAGTAGAGATATCCCTTGTACTGTATCTCCGAAAGGACGCAATCATTCAGCTTTTTATTGAAGCCCACGTGAATTGTTGTTCTTGTAAACTCTAGTAAGCTCTGTAGCATGTTCCAAAAGTAGCGATAGACTGGAGTCCAGCAGTCAGGGTATTTCAAGTTTGGATCGTCAACTGGAGGGCTGGAAAGAAGTAAATTAAAGGTAACCCAGGGGGCGCCTGGGTGGCTCAGTTGGTTAAGTGACTGCCTTCGGCTCAGGTCATGATCCTGGAGTCCCTGGATCGAGTCCCGCATCGGGCTCCCTGCTCGGCGGGGAGTCTGCTTCTCCCCCTGACCCTCCCCACTCTCATGCTCTCTCTATCTCATTCTCTCTCTCAAATAAGTAAATAAAATCTTTTTAAAAAAAAATTTAAAAGTAACCCACGACTCCCAGTGCCACTGATTTGTCATTTATCACAACGAGTGATACACACATTAATTGTACACCCTCTTGAGGAAGTCTACAGACAACTATCCACACCCAATTTCTTTTTTTTTTTTTTAAGGATTTTATTTATTTGACAGAGAGAGAGCACAAGTAGGCAGAGAGGCAGGCAGAGGGAGAGGAGAAGCAGGCTTTCCACTGAGCAGGGAGCCCGACGTGGGGCTCGATCCCAGAACCCTGGCATCATGACCTGAGTTGAAAGGCAGATGCTTAACTGACTGAGTCACCCAGGTGTCTTTTTTTTTTTTTAAGATTTTATTTATCCACACCCAATTTCTAACCTAGTGCCAGTTTAACTCTTGAGGCAGTGAAATCAAGACTACTTGTAACATTCACTTCAGAAAAACATAATTAGAAAAGTAGCTATGCTGGATTCAGGAACCAAATGTAAATTCCTTTTGGATTATGCAGTTATGGATTACCAGTTTACCTGTATGGCTAATCCCCTCCATTACTTGGGTAATCCAGAATTGGATACAGCTATTTACATGTAGGTAGTAATAATAGGTATTACATGACATTAGTTTCACTAATTCCACCAAAGGTGTGGTTTTTGTTTTTTTTTAACAGCAATCTTCCCTTGAAGACCTGCATGCATGCAATTTTGTTTACTTTTGGGGCTTCCTAATTTTAAAAGTATGGATCTAGGCATGATTATTCATGTTGGGGGGAAAAAAAAGTCCCTAATAATTCTGGCTTGAAGGGAAGCTAAAATGGTAATTTACTCTATTTCACGGTCTCAAAGATGATCTCTCTGGCTTTGCTTCTCTCTCCTGCAGCAACCATCCACGATGAGTTATGCAAGACATATCATTAAGAAGGAAGGCTTGGGACTCCAGGGCCTCAACAAAGGATTTACAGCAACTTTGGGACGTCACGGGGTTTTCAACATGGTTTATTTTGGCTTCTACTACAATGTCAAAAACATTATTCCTGTCAATAAGGTAACTATTTAATAGATTATAATCCTGGAGGAAAAATCTCATCAGTGATGATAGCTATATCTGTAGAGTAATCATCATGTGCTAGTCACTGCACTGAACACTCATATCGAATCTGATCCCCCCATTAGCCTTATTCATGGGGTGTCATTACCCCTATTTAGGAATTGGAAACTGAGGCTTAGAAAGATCAAGTAAATTGTTAAGTAGTTAAGAGCAGAGACTTGAACCCAATTCTGACACCAAAATTCATTTCCTTGAAATATGCACCGTGACACCTGAATGCTTCCCATTTATCACTAACAGAAGCTTCTAGAAACTGTGTTATCACTTACTTTTTTTAACCTCAGAAACAACTTTCCCAAGAAAGTTGAAATTTTCATATCCTAAATAAATTTTGAGCTCTGGGGGGAAATTATCAGCCTAAAATTTAAATTTTACCTAGATATTAATTTTTAAATTCACCTAAGTTACCTAGGGTAAGGGGTAACCAACTCTTTAAGGATCATCACTTTTCATGCAAAGTAGTAATAATTATAAATATATTTTAATGGTAATTTACAGATGTTAACAGCCTTTCAACTTCTGCAAGATAAAAGTAGCACATGATGTGCTTTAAACCCAGCCTCTTTTCATCTATAACAGCACACTTTCCCCCCACCATCATATTGCTTGCTTGCATTGAAAATTGCGATCCTGAAAGCACCGACTGGTGACACATTTTGCACATGCAGACAATTTCCCACAGGGGTTCAGTTTTTTATTTTGCTTAGTACAAAACTATTGATGGATTTTTATAAACCATAAAAAGATTTCTAATACGGCTACCACCAGACTCTTCAGTAAAGTTGATTATACCTACCTTTGCCCAGCGATCCCCCCATATTCTGGGTCAGGACTTATCTTAAGTAGCAGCTGAAGCCAAGGGATGTTCCACATTAACCATCTGTTGGTTTGGCCTCATCCACTAGCCAAAGTTGTTAAACACATTTCACTGTATTTGGAAATCTCAGTTATTGAGTAGAAGCTTGTTTGGTTGGCCTGAAATCTGTGATTGACCACAGTATATAGACACCCTTCCCTCACTGACTGTCAGTTCTGGCTCCAGTGGTCCTCAGAGTCCTCCTTCTGTCGAGAAATCACAGAAATCAAATGCAATAGATACTTTGGGCTGAATGACATGAGAGAGTTTGACTCTTAATACATTGAGATTCTTTTTAGCAGGAATGGGCTAAACAATTTGTGGTACCCAGGACAAAATGAAAATGTAGGACCCTTGTTCAAAAATTATTAAGAATTTCAAGACCAAATAGTAAGGCAATAAACCGAGCTCTTCTAAGTGCAGGCCCTGGGTAACTGCGCAAGTCACAAATGCATGAAGTTGACCCTGTTTTTTTAGACTCTGAGATGAGTACTCCATACAACATGGGAGAAGAGTCGCTGCCTCCATCTCTTCGGCTACCTAGTCTTGAGACAGATAGAAATCACATACACACAATGAAATAAATTATATAAATTATTATATATTTTATTACATATATTTGGGCATGTATTTTAATTCCTATCATATTATAAAATGAATTTGTTCTATTTAAGAAAGAAGTCACAAAGATCTACATATGGTCATATGTTAATAATGCTTTAAAAAAATCTACAAGTGTAAACTTCATTCTACAATTAATCAGTGCACTTAAGTCATTAAATGTTATGCATTATATAAACACAGAAGCTTAACTATTCACTTATTTTTTAAATACCTCATGATATCCTGAAACTATGGAAACCACTCATTGATCTTGCCAGTTGACAGGGTCAGATCATACCAGCTCTTATAGGCCACACTAAGGATTCTTATCTTTATCTGAAGAGTGCTAGGAAGCCAACAAAAGATTTTAAGCAGAGGAATTACCTGATCAGTCTGGCTGCCAAGTGGAGAATGCACGGAGGGGAGGTTATGAGGCAAGGGCAGGATATAACATGGAAATGATTTCAAAGTGAGATGCTAGGGCCTCAGACTATGTTGTTCATGGTGGAGACAAGGAGAAGTGGACAAATTTGAGAAATCTTAGAAGGCAAAATGTACAGGATGTGGTGATGGAGCATACATAGGCATGTTGAGAAAAAGGGTTGTGGATAGAAATGCTGCCTAGGTTCTTGGCTTGAGCAACCAGAAGGGTGATGGTGCCATTTACTGAAAAAGAAAACCGTTGAAAGAGAAACAAGTTTATGGGAGAATATTATGGGCTCAGCCTGGAAACTGAATTTAACTGCACTTGGAACTAAAATGCAGATGAGTCGGAGATTGGATGTGGGTCCTGGAGCTTTAGAGGAAAGATCTGAGTTGAGATACACACTTAGAAGTCATCACAACCCAGGCGCCTGGGTGGCTCAATCAGTTAAGTGTCTGCCTTTGGCTGGGGTCATGATTTCAGGGTCCTGGGATCAAGCCCTATGTTGGACTCCCTGCTCAGAGGGGAGTCTGCTTGTCCCTCTCCCTCTGCCTCTCCTTCCTGCTCATTCACTCACTCTCTCTCTCTCTCTCAAATAAATAAATAAACTATTTAAAAAAAAAAAAAGTCATCATAAACCTGGGCGAGTGTCCCTTTACTAGGTGAAAGATCTTGGGCCAATCACTTCACTGCTCTGAGCTTCAGCTTTTTTTATTGTATATTGAAAAGCTACCCAACAACATTATTTTGAGGACTGACAGAAATAATATGGGAAGTTGTTTGTGAATTTTAAGATGCCATGGAAGTGTTAGGTGTGCTGGGGCTGATGACAGCGATGAGAGGAGGAGTGAGAGGGGGAGGCAGGTGGTGGAAACAGCGAGCACATAGAACAGCATGAAGAATTTTTCCCCAGGACTGTTCCTTTTGCACTTAAATGAACACTGTGTTTTTTCTTGCCTAGAACAAAGTCATTGATTTTATGTGTTCTGTAATCTAAGCCTGATTCAAAACTGGGAAACCAGTATTCTTTAAATCTAAACCATAATAAATCAATCCTTTGTGAAGGGGAAGGTATGATAATCATTAAAACATGTTGAAGAACGTCATCAAGTTGTTAACCATGAGGAGGAGGTGGTGTTCCTTGAAGGCTTTATTCCATCTTCGCCGTGGGCTGTCTCTAGCCGTATACTTTGGACGATTTGTTTACAGGTTATTGTTTCAGTTCCCTCACCCAGCAATTGGTCATTCTGTTGTTCCAAGGGAATTCGAGATTTCCCCAGTCCTGACTGGCATGAAATAATTTTAGATTTTCTCTTTAATGTATTTTTTTAATCCATAAGTGGTCTTGCAATGTTTTCCATTTTCAAAGATTTTCTTTTAAAAGAAACTTCATAATGATTATCTCTGGAGGGGGAAATGGGGAATCGTGTGTGTGTGTGTGTGTGTGTGTGTATGAATAAGTGAGAGAGTGAGAGAGAAACAAAACAAACAGCAGTGGAGGGAAAGTCCTTTTTCTTTATACCATTCTGAGCTGTTGGAAGCTCCTGCAATAAGGATGTATTAATTTTATAATAGGAAATCAGTGAAAAGTTTAATAGAGTCTCATAAAATAGAATACCTAGTTAACTTTTTCATGTTTTATACAACTCTGAGGCTATCTATAGAGGTAAAATAAGAACTTTAAATGGTAAGCCTGGAGAACTCAGGTCAGACATCCACCCCTAAAGTTTTTAACTCTTCAGATTGGTGATCTCTCCATTAGATATATTTTTCAAGTGATCACAGAAATATCCTGAACTTCTGTGCCATGTGATACTATTAAAACCATTTTTGTAGACTCCACAGTTTTGCCTGATCCCCATCACGATAACTGTAATTTTCAGATAAGAAAACCAAATGAGAAGTTACGGCCCAATGCTGAAAGTTACTGAAATAATTTATCTGAGGTTAGACAGCAAGGGGAAGGGAGTGAACCAGAGGCCAGGACTCTTTCCACTACACCATGCAGTGCTTTAACCCTTGTGTTTTGTCACACATAAATGACCGCTTAAAAATGATTACTGAAATTTAAATACATGAAATAGCTAGAATATCCAGATAATATGACCAAATTCCTCTTCTCTCTCCTTCAGTCCTGTAACCTGGCACTCCCTCTCCATACTCTTAGTCTATAATTTATAGAAACCAAGAACGAGAAGTCATGGCCCTGGAAGAAGCAAGCATTAGCCATTTGAAAATGGTGCCCTGGGTTAGATTCTTTCAGATTTATTTTTAGGCTCTGGCTGTTCCTATGGTGAATGCAGGGCTACAATAGAGCAAAGACTGCTTTGGATGTTAACTGACCATGGAATCGATTTAATGGAGGCATTCATTTACATCTTGCAGTGAATGGAAAGGAATGTCAGTATAAAGAATTATCCCTTCTCCCCAGAAAGAGGCATCACTTCTCAAAGTAAAGCCCACTGGAAGCAGGTATTGATTAACTTAAATGCTGACATCTTTTTCAAATATCCATGGGAGTAAGCTTTCGTTGCAAAAATAATTTCTTTCATTCCTGTTACAAGGTGGGGCTGTTGGAAGCCTATTATTTGTGATGCTAACACAGAAATGAGAATCATAAGATTCAAATGTTATATCTCTTTAATAACCTTGTCCTCTAATTCCATATTTACTGCTTTTCAAATGTTTCCATAAGTGAAATAATAATAATAGTAGTAGAAATCACTGTCTGAAGCTCATGGCTGTCAACAGTATTAAGCTGTGCTTTCAGTTTGCATCCTAATTAAGCATGTTTGCAAGTTATTTTGCCAAAAACAATAGACCTTTTGTGTTGAATTTTGCCATGATATAAATTACATGTGTGGGTTAGAAATATTCTAGGAGAGAACAATTTTTCATATGTACAATTTTTCTTACTTAATAAACCATTTAGACCTGTCCCTATGGTCATTTTACTACAGACAGCATTAAGTCAAACATATTTTATTTTCTCCTAAGGTAATATTTGTAAAAGTTGGCCTTTTTTGAAATACAAATGTTTTTCTTTTTCTTTTG